AGAAATGAAGTAGATATTTATAACCTCAGCCCAACCTTGAAGAGAATTGAAAAGAGAACTTAAACAAAACAGTAGAGTAAAACATATATAAGTTGACCAAGGAATTATATGTTACTGATCCTGATGTGAGTAAGATGGAAAATGACTTTTCAAATATAATGTGAAAATTTGATGATTTATTGAGCCATTTAAAGGAAACATTTGGTGAGCTAGAAATAATAAATACAGAAAGTATAAGAGAAAACTTCCTTAGTATAAGTGAAGGTATGTCATCAAGGCTTTAAAAATATCAACAGAAAATAACATGGAAAACAGATATCACATGGAATTCAATTGTAGAATGAGAAACAAACATGAAGTAATGTGTGACATCACCACAAAATCAGCAACACAGAAGGGGAAAATGTGATGGTAAACTGATATCAAATGTCTACTGAAATATTATTTTTAACTGTTATTTTAAATACTGAAGATAATATAAAAATGAAGAATAGCTTACACAACTGAAATTACAATCTAGCCATTGATATGGCAGAATGAATATATAATATTAACAGATTGAGTCTTGATTTTCACTGAAGAGAAATGTTTAACATATTAAAGATACATAGAAATATGGATTTACAGGTACATCAAGGATATAAACAATAACAACCAAATGACTGAAATGTCATTACATGTATTCCAAATTCAAGTCTAAGGGAAATTATAATACCATTATTTCATAAATATCCTTTTGTATTAGGTCAATTTATTGAAGGCATATACAAAATTCTGTATAACTCAGAAGAAAGTTTAAAATCAACTTTGCAACTATTACTTATTTCATAACATGTCAAGATTAATAAGTTAACATTGACTAGACTTGTATTATCTGTATTGTATCAGTGGGTAGTTCTATTAAAATCTGTTCGTGCTTTCCCCTTGACTGGTAAGGTAAGTGCTAGGAATTATGTTTGACATAAAATTACAGTACATATCACTACTAAATACCAGGAAAATACTAATAAATACTAATAAGACATCAGAAAGTGGAGAAAGAGATGCAATTCATGTATTCTTACTCTGTACCAAACCTCCAAGTACATAATGTCATCGATGGGATAATATATTATATATTTTCTATAGCATTTGCTCATATCAGTATTTTACCTTTCTCAGGCAGTAACTTTTCACAAATGTTATAAAAAAGCTGCACATCTAGATGAATAAATTATGTTTACTAAGAGTATAATTATAATCAACTTAACAATAAATACTGAATGTTTAAAATTTATTGAGCTCTATCATAAAAGTATGATCAATAACATATCTGATACAGTTAATTGAAAAATATGTCACAAGATCAATATTCTTTTACAAAGGAAGTGTAATCCCAAATATAACAATAGTTAAATATTCTTTTCCTTCCTTCAGGACACAATGCCTCCACCATGCTTGTCACCAGAGCTCTACAATTCAGTGGAAGCCATACTTTCTGCAAGCATCAATGTTCCAGTGAAAAGAGATCTTTAATTCAAAAATTAGCATATAAGAAAATTAGCAAATATAAACTTTGTCTCAAAGATATTCACAACCCAGTTTCTGGTGAAAAAGAAAAGAGAATCCTTTCACTGGGTAAAATTGTCCCCAAAACTGATGAAATAGAGAATATTGTAGAAGCCTTTTGTCAAATGACAAAAGGGGGGCAGGGAGAGCACGACGTCTATATTCCACAATATCTCAGCATTTCCATGGAATAAGCAGGCCCCAAATAGAACGTTACGTCCAGAGCAGCAGCAGTTTGACAAAGTTGCATCCAACCTTCCAAAATAAGGCACCCTTAAAACCTGTGAGAGCATGTGTACCTTTTGAAAGACACCAAATTGACTTAGTAGATTTCAGCAGCACATTAGAAACCAAAGATGGGATCACCTATCGCTTTGTGTTGTCTATACTGGACGTTTTTTCTAGGTTTTTATGGCTTAGGCCACTATGTGACAAAACATCACAGAGTGTTGTTAAAAGTTTAGTGCAGATGTACTTAGATCAGCAATGGGGTGCTCCCAAAATTATCCAAACAGATCAGGGTGGCGAGTTTAAGGGCATGATGAATTCACTCTGTGAAAAACTTGGAGTCAGGCTCATCCATTCTCAAGCCTACCACCCACAGTCTCAAGGAAAGGTAAGAAATTGTCTTCAATAATAACAGGTAGAGCCTGTTTCCAGCCAAGCTGCATGTTGCATGTAGGTCCTTATATTTGTAGTAAGGGACCGTTCATAACTTATGGCTGGGGTGGGTGGGGTGTGTGTAATGGATAAAAATGATTGCCACGGAGGACAGTCGTGATATATCTGTAAATACAGATGAAAACAAATAATGGAACTAAACCCCTTTGATATTCATAAGAAAACTGTCAAAAGCTACCTCACCACCCCTGCACATATGTTTCCCAAGATAAAAGCAACAAAAACCTTTCCACATCAATAAGAAATCGGATGTATGATGAGTCGAATGTATGCTTCCTACTATATCATCAGCATGTGATTGTATGTGTTCATGAATCATCATCAAATAGTGATGATACCAGAGGTGAAAAGGTGAGCAGTGGCACCCTTCAAAAACACTTGTGAAGGCAAGTCTCACCTGTTACAACATGGGAACATATGACAAAAGTCAAAATAGGTATTTGCATTTGACACAATATTTTCACTGCTAGCATATTAAAGGAAGCCTTTAATGAAGAGGATATTTTCAAACATAAACGTAATTTTCATAATTTCAGGATGAGCGTTCACATAGAGTGTGGAAGGACTGTTTGCGGTATGACCTTCAGCACCTGGATGATATCTCCTGGGTAGACAGTCTTCCTGACTATTGCCGCATTCACAATGAATCGGTCAACTCAGCAATTGGTAAGATATTTAAGAGCGAAGAAAATGGCTCTGATCATGGCATTATCTCATCCCACAAAAATACTCTGAAAATAAGTCCTGATGACTGTTGCATTGCACAGTCCCACTACTGGTCTACCTGTAACATTTTGTAACAAGTCCATGCTGATACAAGCTGTTTTTGTCTGTGGTTTGTTCTAAGTGTTTTCTGGGATACTGTGCATTATATATTGTAGGTTGCAGTCCTTACAGAGCCATGTTTGGATTCCATCCACACCATATCACCAGGCTGTTGAAAGCAGGAGGGAAAAGTATGGATGGATACACATGTGAAGACAATGCAGAATATGAAACTGTTGAAGAACATTCCCAGGTGACTGGAATTGTATTGCATATGGTATGGTATATGATATGGTATGGTATATGATATGGTATGGTACGATATGCTATGCTATGATATGGTATGGCATTACATATGGTATGGTATGGCATTACATATGGTATGGTATGGCATATGATATGGTATGGTATGGCATATGATATGGTATGGTGCATGGCATATGGTATGGTATGCTAGGCATTGCATTTTGTATGGTATGGTATGGCATATGATAGGCTATGGCATATGATATGGCATGACATATGATATGGTATGGCATATGCTATGATATGGTATATGGTATGCTATGGTATGGTATAGTAGGGCATTGTAGGAGGTATGGTATGGTATGACATATGATATGATATGGCATATGATATGGTATGGCATATGATATGGTATAGCATATGGTATGGTATTGCATTGCATATGGTATAGTATGGCATATGATATGGCATGGTATGATAAGGTATGGCATTTGGTATGGTATGGTATGGCATTACATATGGTATGGTATGGCATATGATATGGTATGGCATATGATATGGTATGGTGCATGGCATATGATATGGCATGGTATGATATGATATGGTATGGCATTACATATGGTATGGTATGGCATTACATATGGTATGGTATGGCATATGATATGGTATGGCATATGATATGGTATGGCATATGATATGGTATGGCATATGGTATGGTGCATGGCATATGGTATGGTATGCTAGGGCATTGCATTTTGTATGGTATGGTATGGCATATGATAGGCTATGGCATATGGTATGGCATGACATATGATATGGTATGGCATATGCTATGATATGGTATATGGTATGCTATGGTATGGTATAGTAGGGCATTGTAGGAGGTATGGTATGGTATGACATATGATATGATATGGCATATGATATGGTATGGCATATGATATGGTATAGCATATGGTATGGTATGATAAGGTATGGCATTTGGTATGGTATGGCAGGACATATGATATAATGCATGGCGTATGATATGGTGTGGTATAATATATGGTATGTTATGTTATGGTATGACATATCATATGGTATACTATATGGTATACCGGGATCGGGTGGTCAGGCTCGCTGACTTGGTTGACACATGCCATCGGTTCCCAATTGCGCAGATCGATGCTCATGCTGTTGATCACTGGATTGTCTGGTCCACACTAGACTATTTACAGACCGCCGCCATATAGCTGGAATATTGCTGAGTGCGGCGTAAAACTAAACTCACTCACTCACTCACTCACTATATGGTATACTATACTATATGGTATGGTATATGGTATTGTATATGGTATGGTATATGGTATACTATATGGTATGGTATACTATATGGTATGGCATAATGGTATGGTTTATGACATGGTGTATGGTATGGTATATGATATATGGTACATGGTATGGTATATGGTATGGTATGGCAGGGCATGACATTGCATATGGAGTGTTATGGTACGGCATATGATATGATATGGTTATGGCATATGATATGGTATATGGTATGGCATATGGTATGGTATATGGAATGGCATGGTATGCTATGGCATCTGATATGGTATGGTACAATATTCTATGATATATGGTATTGCAAATGGTATGGTAAGGTATGACATGTGTGATATGGTATGGTAGATGGTATGGTATGGTTTGGCATATGATATGGTATGATATGGTATATGTTATCTGGTATGGTATGGTATGGATGCATGTATGGTCTTATAATTTTATTATTTTATTAGGTTAGTGAAGGGACCCTAAACAGATTGAAAGAACTGCAAGATATCAGGAGAGAAGTCCTGATAAAATCAGACAAATCTTCATCGAAAATGGTGGATAAACATTTGAAGACCAATCCCCCTTCTCAGTATGAAGTTGGGGAGATTGTCCTTGTTCGTCATCTAGGCAAGGACAAAGGAGTAACCAGGGGTGGGCAGAAGATCACCTCTCCAAAAGCTGTTGAGGGTGAGATTTTGCAAGTAGACAACAAGCTCCACAAATACAAGGTGCGGATTGGAAAAAAAGTTTCATGGCGATCTGTTTGCCAGATTACAGCATTAACAAGGCAAAAGGAAGGAGAAAAGAGAAGGCAAAGTAGACATGCAGGTGCAGTCTGTTAGGGTCATATGTTCAAAGACTGCTAGTATACGTATCACCATACGCTTTAAACTTTCACAAAACATTATGTTATTAAGTAGTTAGCACATAAATACAATAGGTTGCTCACTTTAAAAATAACCTTAATGCTCAAGAGATTAATTTTGCTAACATTTCAGCATTTCACAAACGTTTTGTTTACTTTAATATGTACATAGATGCTCAGTCATGCTGACCAAATATGCTTTTTGGACTATATAGGATAATCTGTTATGTTAATTGGAAGCATGCAGGTACTACAATCCTTGTTTGAGTTTCCACATGTATGTTATCACTTACATAAATACATATGTGTGAGTTACAAATTTAAGGAACTTATTTGATGCGTGTCTGAACGCAGGTAAAGGAAGCAAATCCAACATTTACCACTATAAGTTGCAAGCAAGAAAGGAAAGAAAATCTGAAGAATGTTTGTTTGCCCATGTGCTTCTGTCTAATTACCAGTTCTGAAATTTGACATATATTTTCAGATATCTACATGAATGTCAGGGCACTACAAAAACAAATGACGACCCCAACAGCACTATCTTATGACCATCTTCTCCAGAAATTAGAAGACTTGGCAAGGGAAAGGGGCCGTGTAGTGAAACACAACTCAGGTGGAGGAAACTGCATGTTTCTGTCCCTGAGTGACCAGATTTATCATGTGCTTAACTTGGAAATGAATGCTCTGGAGGTTAGGGACAACATTGTTGAGCATCTGAGGACACACCCAAATATAGTAAGCCAGCATTGAAACTTGTTTTTTGTAGAAAACAAATAAGACTATTACTTAATTATATACACAGTGGTTTTGTATGACATGTTATCTTGCCTTGAGAGAGTAAGTCTGGTTTAACATCATGACATATGACCTGGGGACACTAGACATGGGCTTCACCCATTTACCAATGATAATAACAGAATCTAGATTTGAGGCTTGTAGATATGAATGCTTTAAACACTATGCTGCCCAATCACACTATAGTATTAAACCAACTTGTGAGTCTTTTTAAATAATAATTAATGATACATTTTGTACATGCAGATCGATGGAACACCACTGTATCAGTTTGTCTGCACACAGCAGTCATGGGAAGATTACCTTTCAACCATGGAGGCCCCTGGCACCTGGGGTGATCACCTAGTTCTCCTGGGTGCTGCAGAGTTCCTCCAAGCTGACATTGAGGTAATCACAACAGCATCGGAAACACACCCGGTCACGATCAAGGCAGTGAACAGACAAGATAAAACCAAGAAGCTATTCCTGGGACATATCTCTGAGTTCCATTATGTGAGCCTGAATGAACTAGGTAAGTACAAATTAATAGATTAACCACACCATAAACAATTATTTTCAAATGATATGAATTACACCAGCAGATGAGTAAACAAGTGGTTGACAGCTATGATCAATAATGTACAAATACCATCAGATCATGAATTACTGAGGACTTCTTTTTATTCACCATAGTTAGGCAAACGATTCAATGTAAATTCATGTTTTTGACAAGTACAATGGCGGCCAGTTCATGTACCTGTTACTCTGTATGTGTAATTGATTACTTATATTGCATAAGATATCATTAAATGTGCAAGTGTCTATGGTTTGGAATATCATAAATACTTTGGAATATTAATTAGGAATTAATATTTAGTTAATTAGTCTTAATATCGGCCTTGATTTGCTCAAATATCTTCATTTTCTCAGGACAGTTTTGCAGGGATTGTCACTTGGAGTTGTCGTTGTGCCAATGCGTGGACAACATTAATGGTGAGACTCTATTAATGGTACTTTGTATTAATGTCCCTCTTCAACCCCTTACAGTGCAAGGGAACTGTTGTAGTGACAGTACATAGTGATACCTGTATGTGGTATAATGTGTTAAATCACTGAACACAGACTGTCCCAAACACTTTCCCTGTCAGTACACATATTAGCATCTACTATATTAGCACCATTATTGTTAGAAGCATGCATTTCTTCTACAATCATCGTCATGCATAAAGTAAATTCATTGTAACCATGGCAGTTGGTTCATTCATATTATTTGTTTTCTTTTTTATTCTTTTGCTGTAAAATGTAGGTTATGAAACATTATTATGAATGTACCAGTATTTATCTTCCCCTGCAACTGTTAACATACTATGTCATCTTTACTTCCATTCACCCAGCAAGTGACACAAGATCATCCACACCTGGTTATGGTAGTGAAGAGGACACAGGTGAGGATACCTTAGATCAAACACATTCATTATTGCTGAGGATAAAGTTAGAGATGAAATAGGAAAAGACTGATTGACCATAAAGCAGACACCAATGATTATGATGCTTAATAACATTCCTGGAGTTACCTACAGGGACAGGGTGTCAGAAAATAATGAATCAATTTCTATCACAACATTAACAAGCTTTATGCTCTGAACTGTGCACTGACTAAATTTCTTCTGCCTAATATGTAAGATATTCTATGTATGGAGTTAAATTTCATCAACTTTACAATATATTTTGATTCAGTTCCAGAAAGTAGCAATATTCATCTACCAGAAACTATGCAAGTTTCAAAGGCATTCTTTGAGAAAGAGGTAAGTGTTAAATTAGAATATATATTTATATTACATTTATTTTATAATATTTTAGCATATGAAAGAAACTGACAGTAAGTGAGTCTCACATTGTCCACAGTTTAGATGATGCATTTATACAGAGAGTTCATTATTATTTCTCTAGGAGGACAATCTTGCCACGTATCTGCGGAATCTGATTCAGGGAAACTTCAGGTAAGAAAATGTAATGTAATGTGTCTAGCTTGTTCCTATATCCTTGTTCCATGTGATTTTTACTAACTAAACTAAACCTAAGAAAGTTCTCAACAGCATGAATGTTAAATGGGTGTTAGAAAAAAATAACCTATATTATTGATGAAGTCAAAATAACTACTGTAAATGCAATTGCCATTCCTATATATAAGCCCCACAAAATAACTTCTGGTCCATGTTTCTTCAAAGAAAACATTATCTACAGTGTATGTCCATGGTGATATTGCATATGTAATAACTCCAGTGTTAAAATATGAATAGAAAAAATAGTAGTGTTATTGAATACCCGGTATACCTTTACCCATTCTTGTCATAAGAAGCGACTGACGGCATCGGGTGGTCAGGCTCGATGGCTTGGTAAATAGACATATGTCATTGTATCCTGGTTGGGCAGATCGACACTCATGTTGATGATCACTGAATTGTCTGGTCCAGACTTGAATATTTACAGACCACCAACATATGGCTAGAATATTGCTGAGTGCAGCATTAAACAACAAACAAACATTCAATGTACTCTCCTTACAGTGGCGACAGAGATGGGCGAGGAGAGAGGCACACAATGTTTCTGCAAAGATATCCGTATCAGGACATGAAGGCAGGCTTTGCAGCAAGTTACATACCAGTAGAGGTAACTAAAGTAGTAAATGATACAGTGCTTAAATGATGATGTTTAGTTTAATGTTACACTTGAGAGCCTCCTTCATACCAATTTGGTACGTATTTGATGATATTGTAATAATGAAAAGACCCAAACAGACACACACCCACCAATACCAACACTCACCTCCACCCATTAACAACCACACCCACACCCTCACCCACAACCACACCCATCCACTCAAATGCCCACACCCACCTCCATCCACAACCACACCCATGACCACACCCTCACCCACAATCACACCCATCCAGACCCATGCTCACACCCATCCACAACCACACCCATTCCCATCCAGACCCATGCCCACAACCACACCCATCCAGACCCATCCACATCGACAACCACATTAACACCCATCCACACCCATGCCCACACCCATCCACACCCACATCCACACTCATCCACACCCATGCCCACACCTATTCACAACCACACCCACATCCACACCCAGCCACAACCACAACCACACCCATCCAGACCCATGCCCACACCTACACCCATCCACAACCACACCTACACCCATCTACAACCACACCCACACCCATCCAGACCCATGCCCACACCCATCCACATCCACACCCATCTAGACCCATGCCCACATCCACACCCATCCACTTCCACAACCTCACCCATCCAGACCCATGCCCACACCCTCACCCATCCACAACCACATCCACACCCATCCAGACCCATGCCCACACACATCCACTTCCACACCCTCACCCATCCACAACCGCACCACACCCATATCCACACCCATGCCCACACCCACACCCATCCACAATCAAAACATCCAGACCCATGCCAACACCCGTCCACTTCCACACCCTCACCCATCCAGACCCACACCCACACCCATCCACAACCACACCACACCCACACCCATCCACAACCACATCCACACCAATCCAGACCCATGCTGACACTCACACCCATCCACAACCATATCCACACCCATCCAGACCCATGCCCACACCCATCCACAACCGCACCACACCCATATCCACACCCACACCCATCCACAATCAAAACATCCAGACCCATGCCAACACCCGTCCACTTCCACACCCTCACCAATCCAGACCCACACCCACACCCATCCACAACCACACCACACCCACACCCATCCACAACCACATCCACACCAATCCAGACCATTCCCACACCTACACCATCCACAACCACACCCATCCAGACCCATGCCCACACCCAACCCCATCCACAACCACATCCACACCAATCCAGACCCATGCCCACACCTACACCATCCACATCCACACCAATCCAGACCCATGCTGACACCCACACCCATCCACAACCACATCCACACCAATCCAGACCCATGCCCACACCTACACCATCCACAACCACACCCATCCAGACCCATGCCCACACCCAACCCCATCCAGACCCATGCCCACACCTACACCATCCACAACCACACCCATCCAGACCCATGCCCACACCTACACCATCCACAACCACACCCATCCAGACCCATGCCCACACACCTACACCATCCACAACCACACCCATCCAGACCCATGCTACACCTATCCACACCCATCCAGACCCATGCCCACACCCACCATCCACAACCACCACCCATCCAGACCCATGCCCACACCCACCCCATCCACACCCACACCCATCCACATGCCCCACCCATCCAGACCCACACCCACACCAATCCAGACCCATGCCACACCTACACCATCCACATCCACACCAATCCAGAGCCACACCCACACCCATCCACAACCACATCCACACCCATCCAGACCCATGCCCACACCCAACCCCATCCATCCATGCCCACATCCACACCCATCCAGACCCACACCCACACCTATCCACAACCCACACCCATATCCACACCACTCCAGAGCCATGCCCACACCCATCCACAACCATACCCACATCCATGCCCACACCAACACCCATCCACATCCACACCCATCCAGACCCACACCCACACCTATCCAGACCCGGCCTACACCACATATCCACACCACACCCAGACCCATGCCCACACCCATCACACAACCACACCCACATCCATGCCCACACCAATCCACATCCACCCACCCACATCCCATCCACACCTACACCCATCCAGACCCATGCCCACACCAACACCCATCCACACCCACACCCATCCAGACCCATGCCCACACCAACACCCATCCACAACGACACCCATCCAGACCCATTCCCACACCCACACCAACACTCATCCACAACCATACCAATACGCTCACCTTCACCCACAACCACACCCACAATTTCACACCCACACCACCCCACACCCACAGCCACACCCAAAAATGAACATATACATGTTTCATGAGAATGTTTGAATTTTGAATCTGCAGCTCTATGGACACCTCCTGAAGTGGCTTGAAACCAACTTTACACGTCGTATCCCAAAAGACAAAAGGTTAGTTATTATCCAGTGACAGTGACAACAACATACAGTAATCAGTATATAATGAATGTGCTTTGCTTGATCCTGTTCTTGCCAAGATGAGTTTCAATACACATCCTACTGTTGTTATGAATTGTCTTCATGAAAAATTTTAACTTCATCAATTTATATTTCATTAATTCATTCACTGATTCATTCATTAAAGTTAAACATGACATTAATGCAATTTTAAGACATGTACTACTACTATCAAGAACCTGTTTATTTCAGCTGCCCCTACACCAGCTCAATGACCACTGTCTTGGATGTGCACAATGTGGACGACAAACTCAAAGAACTGACTCTGCAGTACATGTGGTAATATATATTCACAATTTGTTTCTCTAATGTCAATTTTATAAAACAGTGGTTAGAGGGCATTTTCTTCTGAATGTTTCTTTATGTAGCTACCTAATGCAAACATGGTATGTTGATTATGTCTTTCTGTTTCTTTTACAGTGCAACAACACACTACATTTTTTATGTAGCAGTGAAAGAGGCGTGCTTGTACCTCACTGAGAAATCCACAAAACTCAACTACATGGATGTCAATAGAGAGTGCACTGAAATGGAGTCTTAGAGAGAGAGAGAGAGAGAGAGAGAGAGAGAGAGAGAGAGAGAGAGAGACAGAGACAGAGAGAGAGAGAGAGAGAAAGCGAGAGAGAGAGAGAGAGAGACAGAGAGAGAGAGTATCTACAAAGTGTTGTATTAGCATGGTTTAAATCTACTGAAGTGCGATTTTCTCAGTTTACTGTAACTTTAAAAATTAAATTTACTTTAAATTCATCTTCAATTTTGTTTTGTTTTCTGCATTATGGAAGAGCATTGTTATTGGGCAGATGCCATTGACCAGAAATGAGATAAGCACCCTTTAAAACCTAGGAATGTACTGAGTCAATAATTCTAATTTTCAGAGATTTTTACTATTATTATTAATCACGTGCCTTTTACCAGAAGTAGGATAATGCCTTTCAAACCTACAGTTTATGGAATTTCAATGAAAAGAAGTTTTCTTGGCTGATGATAGGAAATAGCATTTCAAACTTACAAAGTAAATTAGTGAAATTGTAATATACTGGGTCACTAATTCAAATTTCAGAGGTTTTACCTATTATTATTAATCACGTGCATTTGACCAGAAGTGGGATAATGCCTTTCAAACCTACAGTTTATGGAATTTCAAGAAGCTATCTGGGCTGATGATATAGATTAGCATTTCAAACCTACAAGTAAATTATGAATGTACTGGGTCAATAGTTCTATTTTACAGAGATTTTTAACTATTATTATTAATCACTTGCATTTCACCAGAAGTTGCATAATGCCTTTAAAACCTACAGTTTAAGGAATTTCAAGAAGTTTTCTTGGCTGATGATAGGAAATAGTATTTCAAACTTACAAGTAAATTATGAATATACTGGGTCACTAATTAATATGTTCAGAGGTTTTAACTATTATTATTAATCACGTGCCTTTGACCAGAAGTGGGATAATGCCTTTAAAACCTACAGTTTATGGAATTTCAAGATGCTATCTGGGCTGATGATAGGAAATAGCATTTCAAACATGTGAGCAAATTATGAATGTACTGGGTCAATAATTCAATTTTTCAGAGATTTTTAACTATTATTATTAATCACATGCATTTGACCAGAAGTGGGATAATCTCTTTCAAACCTACAGTTTATGGAATTTCAAGAAGTTTTCTTGGCTGATGATAGTAAATAGCATTTCAAACCTACAAGTAAATTATTAATGGACTGGGTCAATAGTTCTATTTTACAGAGATTTTTAACTATTATTATTAATCACATGCCTTTGACCAGAAGTGGGATAATGCCTTTCAAACCTACAGTTTATGGAATTTCAAGAAGTTTTCTTGGCTGATGACAGGAAATAGCATTTCCAAGCTGCAAGTTAACAAATTATTAATGTACTGGGTCAATAATCCAAATGTTCAGAGATTTTTAACTATTATTATTAATCACATGCATTTGACCAGAAGTGGATAATGCCTTTAAAACCTATAGTTTATGGAAGTTCAAGAAGTTTTCTTGGCTGATGATAGGAAATAGCATTTCAAACTTACAAGTAAAATTATGAATGTACTGGGTCACTAATTCAAATGTTCAGAGGTTTTACCTATTATTATGAATCACATGCCTTTGACCAGAAGTGGGACAATGTCTTTAAAACCTACAGTTTAAGGAATTTGTAGATGCTATTTGGGCTGATGATTGTAAATAGCATTTCAAACTTACAAAGCAAATTATGAATGTACTGGGTCACTAATTCAAATTTTCAGAGATTTTTAACTATTATTATTAATCACGTGCCTTTGACCAGAAATGGGATAATGTCTTTAAAACCTACAGTTTATGGAATTTCAAGATATTATCAGGGCTGATGATAGTAAATAGCATTTCAAACATGTGAGCAAATTATGAATGTACTGGGTCTTTAATTCTATTTTACAGATATATTTAACTATTATTATTAATCACGCAATTTGACCAGAAGTGGGATAATGCTTTTCAAACCTACAGTTTATGGAATTTCAAGAAGTTTTCTTGGCTGATGATAGGAAATAGCATTTCAAACTTACAAGTAAATTATGAATGTACTGGGTCACTAATTCAAATGTTCAGAGGTTTTTACCTATTATTATGAATCACGTGCCTTTGACCAGAAGTGGGACAATGTCTTTAAAACCTACAGTTTAAGGAATTTGTAGATGCTATTTGGGTTGATGATTGTAAATAGCATTTCAAACTTACAAGCAAATTATGAATGTACTGGGTCACTAATTCAATTTTTCAGAGATTTTAACTATTATTATTAATCACGTGCATTTGACCAGAAGTGGATAATGCCTTTCAAACCTACAGTTTATGGAATTTCAAGATATTATCAGGGCTGATGATAGCAAATAGCATTTCAAACTTACAAGTAAATTATGAATGTACTGGGTCACTAATTCAAATTTTCAGAGATTTTAACTATTATTATTAATCACGTGCATTTGACCAGAAGTGGGATAATGCCTTTAAAACCTACAGTTTATGGAATTTCAAGAAGCTTTCTTGGCTGATGATAGGAAATAGCATTTCAAACCTGTGAGCAAATTATGAATGTACTGGGTCTATAATTCTATTTTACAGAGATTTTTAACTATTATTATTAATCACGTGCATTTGACCAGAAGTGGGATAATGCTTTTCAAACCTACAGTTTATGGAATTTCAAGAAGTTTTCTTGGCTGATGATAGGAAATAGCATTTCAAACTTACAAGTAAATTATGAATGTACTGGGTCACTAATTCAAATGTTCAGAGATTTTTAACTATTATTATTAATCACGTGCCTTTGACCAGAAGTGGGATAATGTCTTTAAAACCTACAGTTTAAGGAATTTCAAGATGCTATCTGGGCTGATGATTGGAAATAGCATTGTTAATTATTGACAGCCATGAGATTTAATCTTATTTCAAGAAATCATAAACTGTAGGTTAACATTAATCACTTCTCGTCAAATACACATAGTCAGAAATAATAGTTAAAAATCTCTGTAAATAAATGATACATTCACTCTGTATAATCGCTCTTGAGCATAAACTACGGAGTTTAAAACGTGTCAACTTTCTTAGTTGAAGGCTGAAATTTGGTGTGACCCGGCCGCGGGGCTGAAACCGCAGCTATCATCTGATATCTTGAAATTCCGCCAAACTGGCAGGTTTGAAACGTGTCCCACTTCTGGTCAAATGCGTAATTAATAATGGTTAAATCTCTGGCGGTGGTGGCGACGTACATTCATAATTTGTAGCAGATTTGAAATATTATTTCATCGGCGCAATATCTACAAAATTCACCAGCGCCAGGTTTCTGTTGTCTACTTTAAGTCAGGCTTGCGTGATAATAATGGTGAAACTTTGGTGTTGAATGTGACTTATTACATTCATGTTGCCAACAGTTTGAAATAACGACACAATTCCGCCAAACTGTGAGTTTGGCACTTCTGGTCGAATACGCGTGATTAACTAATAATGGTTAAATATATCGTAAATAGGGTAAAGGCAATACATTCATGAACTTTGCTTTCTGTTTGGCTGCTGACACCAATAAATAAAGCCTGATGACTCATTGAAATTCCATAAACTGTAATTTTGAACATTAATCATTTCTCGGTCGAAACTTGCGTGATTAATAATAATGGTTAAAATGCTCTGAAGACGGTGTGACCGTATTCGCGAGCTTGCTGTGAACTGATAACATCTGCAATTCGCGCAAATAACAGGTTTGAACGATGACCCCACTTCTGGTCAGGCATATTCATAATAATAGATAAAACCTCTGTTCATTGTTGCCTGAGTTGAAATAACCCTTTCCTGTCATCGAAAACTGTTGAACGCTCATAAACTACTGGTTTTAAAGGCATTATCGCTTCTGGTCAAATGCGTATTGGTAATAACGTTAAAATGCTGGTTGTTGATTATTGACTTGATACATTAATGGCGAAAACCGATAATCGGCAAAGCAATTCGGCTGTGAGCATGTCGTGTAATGGATCTCTGTAAAATGACCCAGTCGACCAATGTTTGCTGGCAGGTTTGAAATGTATTTATCATCGGCCGAAAAGCTTTCTTTGAAATTCCGCCAAACCGGGTTTGAAGGATGCATCCCTTTCTGGTCGAAAATGCGCCAATGAACCAGCAAGCGACCGAAAATCTTCTGAAAAACCGATTGACGAGCTACATTCATAATTTAAACGTGTTTGTCTTTATTTTCGGCCCGAATAACTGTCTTGAAACTAACAAGCTGGGTTTGAAGATATCCCGACTGCCGGTCCGAAACTGCGTGATTAATGATTAAAAACCTCTGTTGCCATTGGTGACCGTATATTCATATTTTGGTTGAAATGCTGACCTGTCATCAGCCGAAAAGCGCTGTTGAATTTCTGCAAACTGGCAGGTTAAGGCGTGTAACTTTCTGGTGAAAATACAGTGATGTAATTATGGTTAAAATATGCGACATGACGATACGATATGAGCAAAATCTTGTCTCATCATCGGCGCTGACAGCATAACTAATTCCATAAACTTCGGGTTCCAGACGACCCATCCCCACTGTTCAAATAAATTGATTCACCTAATAATGAACTACCGAGCAATTATTGACCCAATACCATTAATGTTTAGCAGCGAGATTTAATGCTTATTTCTATCATCGCTTAAGCATTTCTTTTAAATTCCATAAATGCTGGGATTTTGAAAATCCCCTTCTGACAAAAAAGGCGGAAACAGCAATAATAATGAAATATAATTATTGACTTTCATTGACCCTACAGGTACCCCAAAAATTGCCTCGACTGCAGTCGGCCAATATCGTAACAACACCATCAAAGGCACAAGCAAGCCAATTGAGGCAAGCCAAATTTTTAGTTGACAAACTTTGAAATAAACAACTCGTGAATTTAAACCGTAACTGTACCTTTGCACCTTTGTAGATGCTCTCTCTGTCTTCTCTCTTTTCTCTTCTCTCACCGCTTTCTTCTCTCTCTCTCTCTGTCTCTGTCTCTCTCTCTCGTCTCTCTCTCCTCTCTCTGCTCTCTCTTTCTCTCTGGAACTCCATTTCAGTGCACTCTAT